AGTCTCCTGTCAATCAGAGCCATGTCTCTGTGTCTGTGTGTCCCGAATGACACTGATGTCCAGTCCAGACCTTCAGAACCAGCACAGGACTCCTGACCTGCCTCAGCTCATTACACAAATTAATGAATAATCAGCAGAGAACAGAAATCCATCAGAAAGAGACGGGAAGTCTGGAGGAAAAATGCATTTTCCCAAATAACCCACACAATGCATTTTCTCTCCATCCTGGCTCACTTTTCTTTGCACAAAACACTAAAAAGACATTATTCATGACTTTTACAATAGCCAGCCTCATATTTAGGCCTGGGAGGAACATTAGAGCATGTGAGACTACGATTATCCTGAGCCTCAGCACTCACAATTATTAATTCATCACGCTGCTTCAGAACACAAATGCATTGTATTGTCTCATTCAGCATCTTATTTTACCCATAAATCGGCCAAATGGGATGCGTTCTAATGACAGAGCCATGGTAATATCAAAGCGAATAGGCTCTGGGGTGCAGACGGGAGCACGGTGTGGAAACTCAATCACAAGTCCCTTCAATCACGGAACGGGAAACAGGGACGCTTTGAATATTTTTACCTGGAAGTATTAAAATTATACAATTTTAATAGCTATTTAACATGTAGTTGCTTTTTTAACCGCATGCTTTGGCTGGAAAAAAAGGAAAAGGCAGGCAGGTAAAGCGGGAATTCTCTTGGCAGTTATGAGCAGGACAAGCTCTTTCCGCCGGGAACTTCTTCCTGATCTGTTCTGCTCGCAGTCACTGACTTGTGAATTTCTGCTTGGCTTTGTCTCGTTCCCTCTGCAGCTGGAAAACAAGCGGATCCCCGAGCCGAGATCGCCTGAGGCTCTTCACATTCTCCTAAATATCTATTCGACCGCCGCAGAAACACGGACGCACCTGAGAGGAGGATTTAAGAAAGCAAACATCTCCTCTGTTCTGCTGTGACAGGCAGACGGGTGTCTGTCATTACAGTGTGGGATACATTAGAACTAGAGACAATATAACACTGTCTCGACGTTATTTCTCAGTATGTGCATCTGCGAGCACAATAACGTGTTTCACACAGATTCTAGACTACAGAATTTTTGCCATTGAGATGAATAGGAAGAAATGTCCCAGTTATCATATAAACCCTATTTCAAATTAGAATTAATCTGATATTTTCTGCTTTCATTTTAATTTGTGTTAAAGTTTAGTAATTGTGTTTTGTCTTTTTTATTTATTTATTTTTGTATTTTTTTGCATGTAGTTGTATTTATTTATTTATTTAGGTTTAGTTAGTTTAGTACTTAAAAATAAGTTTAAGTTTGTTTTTTCATATTTTATTTTATTTCAGTTACTGTTTGTTTCATTTCATATGTTTTATTATTATTATTATTATTATTGATGTTCTTATTATTATTATTATTATTATTATTACTATTATTATTATTATTGATGTTATTATTATAGTTTTTTGTTGATGATATCAACCCTGACACTTTGAGGAGCTGATATTACTGTATATTCTTGTATCCTGTGTTTGACATGCTAAACTTCATCTAAAACTATTTTAAGAGCATTTGCTGATTATTGCATGTGTAATACACATGCAGCTTTTAGAAGTTTATAAACGGATGAACTGCATGGATTCATTGTCACAGTGCAGGACCATTTAAAATGAACTAGTGAAGACACATTAAAAATGGCATCAAAAAAAGTGTCACAGCACCTAAAATATAAAACTTGTCTTTAATTCAAGCCCAACATATGCAAAAAAACACATTGTATGTACAACAAGCAACTGCACAGTAAGAAAGTGTGCATCTCTGTCTATCCATGCATAATCAACTGATCAATTAAGACTTTTCTTGCATGTGCAAAATCTCGTTTCATTGTATCTGTGCACTGTTAACAAAGTACGGGTATAAGATAATACTTCTAAAGCAGCTGGTCAGATGCTCTCGGCTGAGTGTTTGCATCTCTAACTAGCTGTTTGAGAAACAACTGCTCGGCTTAACTGAGCAGAGAGAGCGTGAGCTGACCCTCCTGATCAATAATGCATGGAGAGTGAACAGCAACATGCGAAACCTCTTAGCCACTGCAGCAGAGGAGAGCAGAGACGCCATTCAGAACACATCAGACATGATCGACACTGTCTTTGACCCACATTCATCATCACATCATCACATGCAGATGAAGGCAGAACCTGCATTTCAATGCCTTTAGAAAGAAAGCATGCATTTATGATCATCCATGTTTCCTATGTGTCATTTAAGTTCTTTACCTTTAACCCAAATCAAACGCCTCTGACCGTTAACCTGCCCCTGAGCACTAATATATTCATCAAAGAGCACTTAATTAGATTTCTAAGGGAACTTCACTGCCAATGCTCAACCATGAAGCTGAGAAAAAAAAAAGCTTCATAAGGGTAATTGCATGAACTCAACATCATATCAACCCCTAATCCACACTCCCATGAGCCTTTGCTGCACTTTACTATTTTGATGTTACCTATATGTATGGACATCAATGCAGTGCATTTATGATTGAAAATGCTCATTGATTGTAATTTCCCACACGCTTGGGATTTATCTGCGTGCCAGAAAGCAGCACTCCACATTGTATGTTGCTTGATTAATTTTACATTCCCTGTAGCAGTTACTGCACTCGCTTATTTGGGGAAAATGCAGCAGTTTTTATAGTGTTTTCTGTAATTTGTCGCCCATAGAGAGACAATGTTGTAATATAGTAATCATGAAAACTTACAGAACCAGCTATTATTCACGGCTGAGCAATATCGGACAAAGCATGCCATTAAAAAGAGGCTGAGGGAAATGTTGTCATTTCGGTGACTGCTTCTTTTTCATTATATAATTACTGAAATTAAGAAAGATGCATGATTCACTGAGCACCTTTGGAAAGCGTGACTGCGCTCAGAACAGAAGAGCTCTAATCTGCTTCGCCGGAGAGAGAGAGAGAAGTGTATGAACTTGTCAAGACACTTACAGGAGAAAGTGGAGCTGCTTGAAATCTGCCACAAATCATCTCCTCACGGTTACAGGACCGTTCCTGACAGTGAGGTTTACACAGAGCAGTGCTGTGTTCACCTGAACGCCTGGCCTCAGGCAAATCCTACAAATATTATCTGATTATTTAACTCTCACATTCTGACTGGGGTCTGAAAGACACAAGAGCCAGTTGTGAGCGTGAACGATACTTTTCTCTATCTGAGAACTGATTATGAATTAAATATACATTTGACAACGCACTTTGTTGTTTAGGTATCAGAGATCCCATATATAAAACAATATCAATGCAATTAATTTGCATTCTCTGCAAAGGAGTGACACACTGCTAACTGGTTTGTTTTATTTCTACAAAGAGGTTTTTGTTGTTGTTGTTGTTGTTTGTTTGCTGGGGTCAGAATGACAACATTACTGGATGACAATCATCATAAATAATAATGCATGAGTATTACTGACTGCTGTATTTTGAGTCAGAGGAACATTTCAAAATAATTTGAAAGGAAATAAATTGTGCATTTTGAGAATCTGTTAATATATCTAATCATATATAATTAATTACGACCCAAACAATGTTTCTCTCTCTCTCTTTTTTTTTCTTTTTCAGTGAAGGAATAGTTTCTGTAAATATGCAAATTTCAGAGCAACTGATAATCAGCATCATGTGCTAATCATAGTGTTGCTCCTCATGTGAATGTGCTCAAATTAAATCATTTTCTTCAGTAATTGTATATTTTATTTGTCCTGATTAACTCGATTTGTAACGGTTGTAGTGGTCCTAATGGATGTGTATATGACTTATATGAGATGCATAGACCTGTGCTTCTCCTGTGAGCTGAAGGAGGAGGAGGAGGAGGAGGAAGCATGCCGTCCGGTGATTGATTTGCGCTTGGTTTGTCGGAGACAACAAAAGGATGCCATGTCCTTTCAAGGTGTAATCCATGCAGCTTATAATGCTGATGGAGACGTACTACTAGATGTATGCACGACAGGGATCCTGCTTATCCGATCAGATATTTGGCAAAACTTGTCTCGTTGTTCAGAGCTATTCTTAAATCATGTTTAAGTGTCTCGGACCGCATAGCATTCGTTTTGAACGTATTTCCATATTAAATACAGTCCGTCATATCTGATCCATCTGTCCAAAAGAGCCGAGCTTCGTTTAAATCTTTAACGAAAAACAAGAGCACGAACTCCAGCGCAGACTTCATCATCCTCTAAAAGCTTATACTAGTGCGTCTCAATATTTAATAGGGACCCAAATAACACCAGCAAAAAAAAAAGATAATGTAAATGTATACAGAAAGCTATTGCGGAGTTGTCCATCAAACTTCACGGATGCATTCCCTGTTTCCACTGCAGTCTAGTGTGAGTGAGGAGGAATCAATCATAGAGCTGATGTTACTTGAGATAGAATGTCACGGGTTATTTTCAGGGAGAAAGAAACGAGAAAAGGACTCATTTAGCTCCGAGTGCTCCGCGTTTGAGCCTGATATGGCGAGAACTATAATGTAAAAGACACGCATTATCATGACCATTAACTGATATCCTCTCAAATAATTTGTACTTTATTATTTGCCTTGATTAATCGCTTTTCCCATCAGAAAATCACCGTCACTTAGTAAATGAATGCGGTGCGGGTCAGGCGCTTGACCTCGAGTCTATTAACACACACACGCCGACATTTGCTCGCTTATTGTCTGACTAATTTAATTTCACAGAACACTTATTTTCCAAACTCAAGCGCATGCCAAAGGAGAGGGA